TGTCAAGTGCAAGTTGGTTTCTTGCTGTCCTTACACAGTGGCCCAGACTGTCAGCCCCGACCAGGAATTTGCTGGGCACAGGGGTTCACAGCAATGAGAAGTCTTGGGAAGGTCTCGTAGTAACAATTAAATGCTTTGCTGAAAATATGACAATCTGTCAGTCAACACTGGTCTGTTGGCCTTATCTTTCATAGGGAACCCAAGAGGTCGCTCTTACCATGACCCCATAATGGGCAGAACTAGACAAATGTGCAGATAGTACCACTGGTTACTTGGTGTAGAATGAACCAGACTTTGAAATGGGTATGGAAGGCCTCGAAGAGCCCAGGCCCCAGGAGGCAACATTTACATGTTGTTTTCCTTGTATTATTGTCAAGCACTGAACTAACAAATTCTGTAGGAAGCCGAGCAATGATGATATGGAGAAGTGCTTCCACTGCACAGCTCCCTGGCATACATTTGAAATCTCCGTTCTGTTCCTGTCACCTGCAATTTTCTGAAATAGCAGATGGTGCCTTCTGCCTTCCCTGGGGGCACTCTGGAATAAATGAAGAGGTAGACTTGAGGGAGTTCTTTATGCCTGGGGATTTATCTTGCCACTGTACATTTCTGTTCCTGAAGTCTGACCCTGTTGTTGGTGGTATCTCTTGGGTCACCTCTGCAGCAATAACAGTAATATGGCTGGTGGAGGATCAGAAAGGATCAGCTGGAGCTGTAATGATGCAAGGAGGCAGGTTGGCTCATCAGTAGGACTTGCTGGCTATCCAAAGACAAGCTGTTTTCTATCCCTTTCCCTTTCTTTCCTGAATGTACTTGAGGATCCTTAGGTAATGTCTTCTGATTTACCACTTGTCTTTGTTTTTAATATCAAGGAAGAAGATAGATTGAAGTGATTGCCTTGGTAGCAACTTCAGTGGTGATGGGTGTGGAGTTATTAAAATTTACAGTCAAGCTGTTTCTGCAGCTCCACTTTGCTTATCTTAGAAAGGCTTATAAAAGGCACCAAGGACTGTGGAAAGAGAAGAGCCAGCAAATTGTAGTTGACAGGGAATCATCACCACACAGAGCCTTTTGATGGTCTGTTTGCTAAAACTGACATTTATTTTCACAATATATTTTGTTGACCGTGTCAGCCAAACCAACCAGACCTCAGTTCATGCCAATACTTTAATTAACTAATGAGAGGAAAGAAGATGGACATTTCTTGAGTTCCAGAAGCATACACAGCCATGTGGCAGGTGCTTCACACACATGGACTCTTCTGTAAACCTCACAACAAGTTTTTTCTTTTTTTTAATTAGTATTTATTTTTTAGTTGCAGTTGGACACAACAGCTTTATTTTGTTTATTTATTTTTATGTGGTGCTGAGAATCGAACCCAGAGCTTCACACATGTGAGGTGAGCACTGTAACACTGAGCCACAACCCAAGCCCTCACAACAAGCTTTTAAGGGAGCAGTTTCCTTCTTCTTCCTTGATGTATCCTTCTATAGGAGAGAAATTAGAAGTTAAATAACCTGCCTCGGACCATAGAATTTTTTTTTCAAATCTTCATACAGACCATAGAATGTTAAGAGACAGAGGTATTATCAGTCACATACTAAGCTAAAAAATCTGTTTATCCTATTGAACTGATCAACTTCTTCAGTAATCACAGATCATTACTGATGGTCAAATGAGCCCCTTCTGCTGAGCTCATCCATTTCTAATATTTTCATAATGTTTTGTTACTTGTAAAGTACTATCATATTCATCATCTTATTTTATCTTTGAAAAAGCCCTCTGAATACAGAAAGCTGGTATTTCATCCCTATCCTGTATTATCAAGAATTGGGTTCAGAATAGTTGAGTAACTTGCCCAAAGTCATTAAGAGCTGACACCAAATCCTGGGATAAAAACAAGGAGAGAAATGAATTACAGTGGATGGGGTAGAGAGAGAAGATGGGAGGGGAGGGAGGGGGGATAGTAGAGGATAGGAAAGGTAGCAGAATACAACAGTTACTAATAGGGCATTATGTAAAAATGTGGATGTGTAACCGATGTGATTCTGCAATCTGTATTTGGGGTAAAATTGGGAGTTCATAACCAACTTGAATCTAATGTATGAAATATGATATGTCAAGAGCTTTATAATGTTTTGAACAACCAATAAAAAAAATAAATTAAAAAAATGTTTTTTATCCCTCCCATCATCTCTTCTGTGGCTGCAATGAGCCCCACAGTTTATTTTTATGGCAGCTGAACTCAAGGGATTCAGGCCTGGGCAACTATATGGGTATTTGCCACAAGGCTTCCATGACTTATAATGAACTGAAACAAAATAGTTAGCCACAAATTATAATGCCACTGTGGTCCCATGACAAATGACAAGGAGGTAGTGGGAATGAAATCTTATTACTACAAATAAAGAGACCACATCTGAGGTCTAGTCCAGCCACATTTACCACTGCAGGAAGCAAAATGAAACATCTGGGTGAGAGTCTACCATGAATTTGGCCGTGTGCTAACAGGATTAAGAAGATCTCTCCGAAACAGTATTGCAATGGCAAATGTGTGGTGCCTTAGATAAGGACGAAATATTTATTCTGGCAGAGATTAAATCTTTTCTTTTCCTGGATCTATTATGGATCTTGCAGAAAATCTGCAGAAGAATATATCTTGTTGATCAGCCAACTCACTGAGCCAAAACTGTGCTTTGCCGCTGCTGTTGCTGAAAAGCTGCAGAATGCTAGTTTAAAGGTCTCCTTTCTCCCCCTAAAACTGTTCTCCATCCGTGATTAATTAGTGACTCAGAGGTAAATTGAATCACCAGCAGTCCCTTTCATGCATCCAGGATTTATGTAGTGGTTTCTCGTTGAAGAGCAGGGGTGCAATAAACACCCCACGTTTGTGGGTGGGCAGAGGAGGAATGGTGTCTGTAGTCGTGGTTTCTTGCCTCCTCCAGTCCTTTTATTCTGCTAAGCAGGTTATGACTCAAGCCATCATAGCCTTGCTTATTTAGGAATGAGGGTATGAACACATACACACACACACACACCCTCAGAAATAAATGACAGTTCTCTAAGAGAAAATAGAAAAGTCACGTTGTCATTTCTAAATTCCTTGAGGATGGAGGAGAAAATATAAATTGGATCATAACGTTACTGATTATGGGCACAGAAGGTCCAAAAAAGAACCCATAGTCAGGTTCATGTTTCCATTCATCATTTTGTTTTAATGTGAGGTACTTTGTTTAGTATGGAGATGTAGAGATGAAACAAAATAAGACAGAACCAGTGATCCCAACAGAGATTTAAGAAGTCCTAAGTATGCTTGGTTACCATTTGAGTAGGCATTTGGATCACTTTTTCCAGGGAATAGCAGGTGGGAATTGTTGGTATCACCTGATGCTGTGTGCCATGCTGTGAGGACACAAAGGACACAATGATGTCCATTCTGTATCTTTGCATCCCTGAATGAGGATGGCATTTTTGTTGACTGGTCTGTATTGCTGTCTTCTAAGATCAAGACTTTGGGTACTTGTTCATTCTTTCAATTGAATACATGATGTATTTGCATACTAAAGGACAAATGGCAAGTTGAAGACAACTATGTTTTGGGAAAACAAGTGAAATCTATCAAACTATGTGGAAATCAATGCCCATCTCACAAGAAGTCTTAATTTATTGACTTTCAGTACAGTAGGTGCTTAATAAATATTGATTTATGTATTGAAAGAATGAATTACTAAATCTAGAATTCAGTGATATCTTTCCTAGAACTTAGTTAATACGGATTCTATATTTCTTTAACCATATTCACTTGCTTCTTTTTCAATCTCTTCTTCTACTTCTTGAACAAATAGAGAATAAAAAAAGCTAGTGACCCATTCTTGTAGAACATCAGAATTGCAGCTGAATTTTATTATTTTTGCATGTCTAATGTATTGCCAATAAGTCAGAAAACTAGAGAAATATAGGAGGACTCTTTTCTTCTCTCTTGCCCCATCCTTCCTCTACTTTACTGTGCTGCAATGGCACCCTAAGAAGTTGAAAAAAGCTGAATGTACAGGATCCCCGAGGTCACTTTCATTTTGTTACATTGTGAAATACTAATTCCAATTCTTAGTCTTAACCAATTACTAGAGGAAAAGTTTTAATAGCATTATTATTTGTGGTTTAGTGTTTTCTGGCATTTTCCAGGAAATAACCTCATCACCACTACTATCACCATCTCCATAATCATTTTCATTGTCACAATGTCACTCTTCTCACATTCATTGAAATTTGCCCTCTCACAAGTTTTTTTGCAACCACTGACATATTCTTCTGTTGTGTAACATAATCTATAACAGTGACTATTACATCTGTCTTTGGATTAACTTGAGGAATAGGGCTACCAGTGTAGGAAGAATGGCAGCAATTTCATTCTGAAAACCCTGGCTCAGTTTCACTATCCTTTCCTGAAAATACCATTTTAAATGTGGTTTGGATCTGTAGAAAGTATCACTGGGATTTGGTCTATAATGCCAATTGCTCTGCCATTGGCTCTGAACCATTCTATACCTCTACCCTTGGCCTTAAGTGCCTCAAAACGGGCAGGCAGGCTCATATTTCCTTTTTAATCCAAATTGGAAAGGTGAAATGATTTAGGACCCAGTGTTGTATTAGCCTCTTTTAGAAAAACAGACCTAATCCATCTTGCAGAAATGAACTTTGCAATGTCACTTCCTCATTGTTAGGTAGTTCTGTGGTTTCAGCCTTGATATCCGTTGAGGGCAATGGATGATGTAACCTGTGCAATGCAGCCTGTGAGAGCAATTTGGGTGGCTTTATACCATTGGTTTTTATGTTCAGCATGAAAGCCCATAGAGAAATATAGGATACTATTATTAACTTCACACTGACAGCTCCCTTGAGGCACCTACAGGTTTATTGCTAGTTGGAGGATCAACTTTAAGGGAGAAAAGTTTGTGGTCAGTGATAACTATGCCTATTTTCTTTTCTTTTTTAAATTACAGGAACAGGGAAAAATTGGTGTTGTTTTCAATATTGGCACCGTTGACATCTCCATCAAAGAGGAGAGGACCCCGGTCAATGATGGCAAATACCACGTGGTGCGCTTCACCAGGAATGGAGGCAATGCCACCCTCCAGGTGGACAACTGGCCAGTGAATGAACACTATCCTACAGGTACCAGTTTTGCTCTCAATAGCCATCTTCTCTTTCATGCTCCCATTCTCACTTGGTACATGGCAATTTTTCTCGTGACTGTTACCAATCACGAAACACTGAGAGAAACACATATTCATGCTTTCTACATTGAGAAGATAAGTGATTTCTTATAGGACTTGCTCAGTATAGGGAACTTCTGGAGACTTACTAGCTATGCACTGCACATTTATTTTTTTGCCCAATTTAACCAATACTGTCTGACTGGTTCATACAAAGAACAATTACTATAGTTTTTCCAGGGAGCTACAAATGATAGCAGTGCAGGAAAGGGACCCTGTCTCTATTGTGAGCTATCATGGATCATTACAAGGTAATCAACTTGAGATCTGAAGTTTGTGGTACCATTTACTCAGGTATGATTAAAGGTGCAGATGGCCTGAAATGGCAGAAGAAAACAAAAGGTTTACTAAACTGTAGTGCATGTACATTAAGGTAGGGGGACAGGGAGAATAAAAGCACGGGTGGAATTGCATTATTTGGCTGACTTTGGCGGTTGTATTTTTCTCACTTGTACTCAGCCTGCCTTGATTTTCAGAGATTGGTCCTGGTAGCCATTTTAATAGCAAGCAGGCTAATGTGGGAGAGAGAGGGGTTAATCATCCATTTAAATTTTACAGTCAAGGAGCATCAGGCAACAAACTCCCAGAGCCAGATGGCTGAATCAAGGGCAACGGGAGAAAAGGTTGCCTCCTTTAAAGGGATCATTCAAATAATCCCTTAGCTTTTCCTCTCATCTCTCACTTTTCCTAGGAAGAGCCTTGAGCCCTGATCATAAAGGTGCAAGGACCCTTAACTTCACAGTTCCATTGTTACCAGGTAGATGGATGAAAGAAAATAACCAAGAATGGTGTGCTCCCCACACCATGTCTATCTCTCTATCCTGTACTTTGAATTCCCTCAATTCCCGTTTTCCTCTCACTCCCTATGCACTGAGACAGGCACATCAACAAAGACCCTAGAAGCACATTTCTAGAAGTCTATGAGCTAGCTAACTAATAATTATCAGATTTGAGACAAATACTCAGAGTAAATATGTCTACTCTCATAGCCCAAGATGTTTGAATAGCTTGAAATCTATGATGATGTTTTTATGCCTGAATCATCATTAAGTTTTATTAAAAGCCAGTCAGAAGTATCTGTGTTGTTAGGTTGTTCCCTAATACACAGAGTCTCCCTCTATGTGGTTTAAGAATTAGAAGAGCAAGGGTCCCCAAGGGATTGGAGCAAAATGTCCATACTACCCATTCATCTACTATCTCAGTTTTCAAAAAAGCTGTCATCTCAGTCATCGCTGGGGGCCTGTTAGTAATGCTTAGACTAAGGCATCCCAAAGACCTCATGAGGTTATCTTTGAAAACTTAGAGCAAGCCAGAGGTGTTCGCAGTTACCATGAATTCTTATCATCATCCAAATACACTGGACATTAATAGACTTGATTTTTAAATGCTTCTTGTGTAAACCCTGGGGGAATTGGTGGGGGTAGGTGAGAGAAACCAAAATAGCCTAAGCTCTTAGAAGCTGTTCATTTGCTCATAGGAAAAATCAATCTCTCTCTCCATGTATATTATCATTGGCCTTAAAATTGCTGCTGGAGGGTTTGTTTTGTTTCCATTAGGAATTTCAAAGATTTCTAAATTGATGTTAAACACTTGCCCTGAGCCAATAGAGAATCCACCAGTTTGCTGCCAGCAATGAGGCGGCTTTTAAATGGTCATTTTAAAGCCAGAGATAGGTAAGAAAACCAGTGACCCTTGCCGAGCACCTCTCTTTGTGTCTTTAGTTCCAAATTATGGGTTGCTTCCTGTATGTTTTCAAAGCGGAATAAACCTTTCTTTGATAGCATTGCTTTCTCCTGAAAACTATTATTATCATTGTAACTGTTATTTAGTAATAACATATGTTATTATTTCAGGACAGGGGACAGTATGGCAGTTATAAGTGTGGGCCTTGGAGTCAACTGACACCCTGAGAACTTGGCTTCATCAGTTGTATCTAGGCGGTAGGATTAAGACCTTGAAACACCCTAAACACTGAAATATTTGGTGCCTCTCCCCGACATAGATGCAAAATACAACACTAAACCATGAATGTAAGAGTTTCTGAGAGTTTTGATGGTTCTTCTCAGAATTGCTATAAAAATTTAAGAATATATCAGATTCTTTCTTCTGAGAGTCTCATTTATGTGTCTTTCTATTTTGTTAGTTCTCTGAGTGCTTATTCTTATTTGGTGTCTAGTTCCAAACCTTACATAAGTTATTGAATCTACCTGAACCTCTGATTCTGCATCTGGAAAATGGGGAAATGAGAATTCTCTTTGGAGTTAAAGTTAAGATTAATTGAGATGGGCACTTGTGAACTGCTCAACAAAATACTGGGCAATTAAGTCAGTATTCAATGTTAGCCATGAAGACTACCAAGCATTGTGGTGGCATTTTAAATTATGACATGTATGCTTATGCATATTATATCACTTTGACTCTTAATGTCTGTAAGTTGAGTAAAGTTGATATTTTTATTCTCCATTTCAAAACAGAGACAGGGAGACAATAATCCTTTCCTGAAATCACATACGAAATGAGGGACAGAACAAGACCAGATTCTATTCCCAATTCGGCAAAATTTTCACTATTGCTTTCATTGCAAATTGCAGGATGTAGAAATGAGCATGTTTCTTCTTGTGACATCTTAAATTCATTTCTCTTTATTTCAAAGTGTTGTATTTCAAAGGTAAATTTCCAGTGACCACACAAAAGTGGCTGTTATGAGATGTGGAATAGAAAATTCTCATTTAAGAAAAAAAAAATTCTTTTGACTCCACTGATTCTAGGCTATCCTGGAGCCATTCTTGATTTTGTTGCCTCACATGAAAAGTAGTAATCCTATGCTAGGTTGAGTGCAAAAAAACCTTTGAGTTTTATGTTCTACTTTTCCAAGACTTCTTGGGAGTGGCTCACCATTATGGTCTTAGCTTATTTTCTCTCCTGCCTTCTTTTCTGTCTGATTGAAAGGATCCACTTAACTAAACTTAAGAGTACCATTAAAATAATCTGGAAAAGTTTAATTTGTTTGCTTTAAATTCTGAGACAAAAATGGCCTCTGTATCTGGACATTGAAGTACAAAGCCACCAACTTATATAGGCAATCTTGATACATACTCTGAAAAAAAAAAGATATATCTTCTTTTTTCCAAACCATTGTTTTATTGATAATAGTAAACCATTAGGAGCTATAAAGAGTAGCTCTGTCTAGCTCCTCATCTATTGCTAATGTTTAAATGGTAAAGAAATATGGAGTAGCTCCTACAAAATATTCAGTTAAGTTGTCTCGTTTTGAAGGGAACTGTTCTTACTCACCAGGGCTGACTGTGTCAACCATGCACAAGGATGAATGGGTCAACTCTCAGATCTTCTCATGGGCATTTATAGGATTTTATGTGGTTCTACTGAAACATCCCACTGTGAAATATTTAGAACCCAGCTGGGCACAGGGCTTGTAGCACTGGCTCTTTTTGAATCAGTAAGGATCCAAAATGGAAATAGTTCTATAGCAATTGGAATCTTATATCACTTAATTCTGGGAGACAGAACTCAAAAGCAACTTCTTTCTTTGAACCTGAAAATAGAAAGACTAAGGAATGGGAGAGGAAATGAAAGAAGAAACAGCCCAGAGCTATCGTCCAGGCACTGACAAATGTTCCTTATAAAGCCTCTGATTGCTATCTCTATACAATGCCATGGTGAGGACAAGGGAGGGGAGGTGAAAGGTGAGTTGAACATGAGGAATTAATTTTAGCCACAGCTCTGGGCCCCCTGGGAGGCTGAGCTGACTGGGATTGTTCAAGATCCTTTCTCTGCTGTGAGCAGGTGGCCGGTTATGCTGTGAGGGCTGTGAGAACCCTGAGCATGGTGCAATAAGGGCTTTTCAGGTCAGAGCCAAGCTTCCTAGGAGTTGAGGACTGATAAGCATCTCAGTGTGTGGGGCTTCCATCTTCCCATATTAGGAGATGCTAAGGAGAGCAAAGCCTCGACTGATTTTTCCTTGTTATTGTATACCAACTCGGTTGAAGTCACCTTGACTGAATTTCTCTTCAACAGTGTATTACTTCCCTGTCTTTATGACAAGATACCTGAGGCAATTAACTAATAAAGAGAGAAGGTTTATTTTGGCTCACAGTTCTGGAGGTTACAAACAATACCTGAAGCAATTAAGTTATACCTGGAGCAATTAACTGATAAAAATGGAAAGTTTATTTTGGCTCAATTTTGGGGGGCTCCAATCAAGGTTCCATTTGCTTTGAGCTTCCAGTAAGGGCAGCACATTGTGGCAGGAGTGTATGGTGGAGCAAACTGCTCACCTCATTAGCCAGAAAGTCCTCCACATTCGCCAGAAAGTCCTCCACATTAGCCAGGAAGCAGAAAGGAAGAAGAGATGAGTGTCCCTCAGTCCCCTTTGAGGATACAACCCCAGTGACCTAAGGGCCTCCCATAACCTCCCATAAGATCTACCTCCTAATAACCCACAATTCTTTCCAAGAGCATCACCCTGGGGACCAAGCCTCTAACACATGGACATTTGAGTGACTCACCCAAACCATAGCAGTCTCTGAGAAGCTCAATGAATTGCCCAGTATCACATAATTTAAGGGGCAAAACCAAGATTCTTGTCCCAATCTTCACCCTGCAGCACTTCAAACTCTGTGTCCCATTTCTGTTTCTAAGTCATTATTTTCCTGTTTACAGCACTTTTTTTTCCCTCAAAAATATTTTCAAACAGAAATCAATGTCTGGACTGGTTTAATTTGTAGGATTTCTTAATCTTAGTATTATTGACATTTTGGGCTTGACAATTCTGTGCTGAGTATATGGCAGGATGGGATGGGGGATTGTTCTATATATTGTAGAGTATTTATCAGTATCCCTGGCATTCGCCCTGTAGATGCCAGTAGTATATATCTACAG